AGTAGACACCAAAACCTTGCCTTTCAATATGAGCATCAAAAAAATAAAACTGAATACCTTTTAAGTCTATTACTCACCCAGAAGTGGAGGCATTTTTATGAATGATATAAGAATTCCACCAATTTTACAACAAACAAGGAGAACATACAGTGCAAATAAGTTTCCGCCAGGAAGCGCATCTCCTCCCGCTATTGACCACATAGCAGCCCAGACCAAAACCAGAATAAGTCCGTAAGTTAAAGCTCTAGCCAATAGTCCATGCGGTGGACACATCAAAGAGTATTTGCAACGTTCAATTCGTGATGCGTTTGTCGGTAGTGGGTTGCGATGGGTCATCCAAGGACTGAATGCAATTTCACAAGAATCCTTAAACTTTGTGCAGCAGGTATCGGCAGCCGACGCCATGTGGCCGCCTAAGTTTTCATCTGTTTTGTATTTCTTCAACTTTCCATTCTTATTAGCCACAACATGCGTGTCTGAAAAGGAGACTGCCTTTCTATGTTCATCCATTTTGACGGAACTTATGAACCTGAAAACAAAAAACAAAGAAGGCTTTAAATCCTGAATCTCAAACTATATAATATTTTTAAAAATTCAATTCAATACTTAATTGTAAGAAGAGCCATCATGGGCTATGAGGCAAGTTTTTTATACCTTATCTCGTGAACTTATTTTTTTTAAGGATCAGAGGACGCAGGGAAAAAAATAAAAATAAAATATTGTTTTCTTATTTAGCAAACAGTTTTGCCAAAAACATCCAGACGGAAGATAAAATAAAAATAAGATCTTATTGGTGATGCAAACAGTGTAGTAATGGGATGATTAAATGCTGTAAATTTATATAATTAAAAAGAAATATAAATAACTTATTTTTGGAGATTTCAAGGCAGCAGCGAGCATAATAAAAAAAACCAAAAAAAAACTTGTATATTTTTCTGAAATTTACATTTTTTTCGTGGCAGCGGTGCGCTAATTGGCCAATAAATATAATTTATTTTTATTTGAAATCATTATTACTGGCAGTCAGCGGGTTCACTAGACAAGGTATAAAAAGTCTTGTCCTTCCCACCACATCAAAAACTAAAAACCAATGCAGACACAAAATAAACAACATATTCTGGTACAAATGTATTTGAGATGAATCAAATTCACACACATGAATAATTTACAAATAACAAACTTGTTGAAAATAGGGAATGAGGCAAACATTTTTTGTTCTCTACAGTAGATCTAATGAAAATATTTTAATCCTCGGAAATAACTTATAAACCTTTGGAGCCATAGGGATTTCCCCCTTAACCTTACCTTTTGAACTTCCCCAAGGCCCTAATGTAATGCATGCAAAATGGTTTAATATTTATACAGTATTCAGGCATAGTTTGAACTTAATTCTTTGCACTTCATGCAAATCCTGTGTGTAGATGACATTTTAACATTTTTTTTCATTCTCAAATTTTTATCTTTAACGGTTCTTGGCTTGAATAGTGTACATTGTGATGCAGAAATCAACTTGAAAGGTATGCGGACTCAGTCATGATCAGTTAATCTGTTGATATGACTTTCAATATAAGGAGAGTGCGGTATGGAGAGAACAAATTATTAATTTCACGGTGCATGACCTTGATGTGTGTTGTGACATGACTTTGGTACAAGAATTTTCAAGTCATTCTTTAAGCTAAGTAATGCAAAAATTACCATCACCTCAAGTACTGGCTAGATGTACAATCATTTTCATAATCTGTTGAGGTTTGTTTGACAATATTGAGGAATACTACAAGGTAAAATTATGAAACAGAATAACACTGTAAGGCAAACAATCTCTTAGTACAAAGAATATTGATCTATAATTAACGAAAAAAATAAAATGAATTGCTTAAAATATTTTATGCTTAAAATAGCAACAAAAAACCGAATGTCCTTTCTCCAATTAGAAATACTTCAATAAATTTTGATTTCTTAGAAATACATTTTTCAAATGAACCTACAGCATTTATAATTTAACAAAAAAATGAAATATGTAGCATGTCTATCATACTGTAAGTATACACAGTATTAAAGTCTATTGTAGATCTGAGACAGAAAAAAGTTGTTTGACGAAGAACTGGGGAACGGTGAATGAGATACAGATTTTTGAATTTAAAAACTGGGGGTAAAAGGTGTAAAATTGGGCAGTTACACCCCTTTACCCCCAGTTTTTAAATATTCAAAAATCTGTATCTCATTCACCGTTCCCCAATTTTTCGTTAAACAACTTTTTTCTGTCCTAGAAAAATCAGTTCTACAACATATCAACAAATTTATTTCCTCCTGAGCGTGACTTTAATGCCGATTTGTTTAAGCATTATTTTTTTTTATGATCATTGATGGCGCACTCAAAACCTAAGCTTAAGGATAGGAAATTTAAGTTAAAAAAAAAAAAATAATAATAATAATAATAATAATAATTTACATTTATAGTGAATATGCCCTTTACACCAATTTATAAGACAAAAAGCATGATGATTTAACAATTATATAAGGTGTTTAATCTCGAAGGCTCAATCAAACGCCCGCCTCTGCACTGGCGCAATCCTGGTCCCCTACCTAGGTGGCGCAAACATAGGAGCAGGTACACATTTTCCTGGCACAGGTGACCGGGTATTCAAGGAATTGGCGACCAAGGTAGCGAGTGGCCCCAAGAGACAGAGCAGAGGCCACTTTGATAAAGAGAAGAGAACACATGAGATTCTGATGGTTATAAATTATTAATATTATTCAGTACAGTGTTTTAAGTAGTAACTTAAATGTGTGCATTGTACTTATATAATTAGTCTTATATAATTAGTGGAATACTGTTCAACTAGAAGAGCAAATAGCCAATAAAATATAATAATAGAAAAATCAATTTTTATCGAAGATGGTGGATACCTCTTTTTTGGCTTGAGTTGATTTAACGCTTATTTTTCCTCGAAATGAAATCTGGTTATCTACCCACACAACAGGAATTTTTTTAAAGAAAGAAGAGTGATATTATTAAACCATAATAATGCCTGTGTAGACTACAGACAGCGCTCCGAGTCTATTAGTATTAGCTCCCTAATGTGTACAGCTCGATGATAAATTAACCAACAGGGGCGGGTGGGACCAGTCTGTGAGCGATAACCCTATACGAGCTGTCAACGGGTTGATAACCGTCCTACACCCTTGAAAGACTGGCGCTACCACCTGTCCCACGTAAACACAGCTGACTGGTGGTGGTAGAGACGCCTAGCTTACAATCGTAAAATAATTTATTTAAATAAATATACCTACATGTGCGTCAGAAATACAATAATGCCTTTTTAATTGAATACCGTCTTCCCGATAATCCTACAGGTCCTAGGTACATTGCTTTAGCATTCCTAACAAAGCATTCCCAAGTTCGCAGAAAGAGCCAACCACAACTACCTACCACCAAGCTACTACACAGTCCACAGTATTTTGTTATGAGGACATGCAGGGGAGCTTGAGTAATGGAGAACGAGAGAGGGCGACAGACACTTAACCTAATTCATCATCGAACAATGAACAATGGCGGTATTATTTCGAACCATCGAAGTATCCGGAGAAGTAACAAAGATGAAGAACAATAAAAATTGTATAACACATGTGAATAAAAAAATGTTACTGATGTACAAATACAATACTAAGACAATTGTATAATCATAACATAAACATTACAAGAATAATGCTACTAATAAAAGGCATTTATATGATGAAATGAGATATTATCAAATACTAATAAAAATAGAGATACTAATAAAAGGTATTTATATGATGAAATGTTTAAAAACTAATTAAAAAGTATGTTATAATTATAACAACAGGGGCGGATAGATGTCCAAAGGTGGGGGTGGAAAGGGGTTTCGAAATTTGGGCGATCGAGACAACAATGTCCCACGGGGTCCGGGGGCATGCCCCCGCGAAATCTTTGTGTTCTAGACGCACGAAAATAACATTTGAGGCGTTCTGGGCTATAATTTTTTTCTTTTTCTTTCTTTTTTCTCTTTTTTACCTCCCAAAAAAAGGGGGGGGGGGCGGGCCGGGCCGGCCCCACCTAAATCCGCCCCTGATAATGTTTTATATTATTCTAAATCATCCTATTCATAAAATATAGACTTAAAAAAATGTTGCATGATATTATAAGCTAAAAATGTTTTAGCATATAAGACAAGTACATGTTCCACACTACATAATATGGTAGTCAATTGTCTGTACTCAACATAAGAGTATGACATAGGAATTATTTAAATCAATCAAATTTTGTTCAACCTGCTATAAAGTAAGAAGCTGGGGAGAGACGGTCATGGGTTAGAGGAGCAAGTCTAACTGATTGAAAGAGTTAGAAGAGTAACCAATGTCAGACCAAAAGCATCCATTGATTAGCATAGAATAAATTTCTTATCTACCCTTCCTTTCAAAGCAAATAAAGAAGGCTTGCCATGTTAGCTATTTAAAACAAAAAACAAAAAAAAAACAAAAACAGGCCTAATTTAGCCTGGGTTCTAGGCCCTACACTTGGGTTACTCACTCTCTATTGCGATTAGTGCGTCCCATACTTGAATTATTTCCCCCCCCCCCCCCCCTTTTCGGATTCCGTCTCTAAATTAACTTTCTCGTTGGTGGCACTGTCCACAATGATAATTTATTGAACCTGCACTTTTGTCACAGTGGCACTCCTCAATTGACGGTGCGTTAAAGACCAACAAAATAACAAAAAAAGAAGTTATATTTAAATTAATACAAAAAGCACAAGCACAAAATTTAAAAGCACATTCTTATCATAACTATTAAAAAATAAAATACATAACAAATTTCAAAAAATGATATATATATACACATATACACACATACTGTATATACATACACACCGGTGTGCGAGTATCTTGTATGAGAAAACAATAAGCGTGATATGGGCGACACTACTGCAGGTTCATGAATATTTAAGTAGCAATCGAAATTGAATATTCATTTCACTAGATTTTCAAGGGACTTGTGGAAAGTCAATGAACTTGATTGGACCTTTTAATTAGTGAAAAATATATTTTCTTAATTCATAAATATACAAAGCAAACAATTGAAATATTAAATTTTATTTGTCTAATGCTCTGTCCACGTTATTTTTTTGACAAAAAACAATTGTATGCCCATATATAGTCATCATGTGCCTATATATGGTGATGATGTGATGTCATCATGACCATATTTAAGCATGTCACACAGTTTATTGGCTTAACACAGACAGATGTCTTTGAATTTACAGTAAATCTAAAATCAAAAAACTTTTATTCAAAAATGTCTAAAATGCCTAATATTGCCATGAGCATTCGGTAAGAATACTGTAGATACCCCAGTACACTGAAAGTACCCATTACGATTATTTTTGTAACGTCACGTAATGTAGTTAGATTAAATATAGAGCTTTACACCGAAACGGTCTCAAAAGCACTCGAGTTGTGGACTTGCTCTTACTGTAACTTGCTTCTCCCCTGAAGGTTTCTTGGTGTCTGAGCTACCCGGTAAACTGGTACCAACTACTCTCGTCTGTCCACAGTAGCTGCCAAGGCTGAATGGACCAGCACTGGGTTCTTTAAAGTGCACATGACCCAAGTTATGTACACTGGGCCTACGGTTTGTAGTCATTATCCAAGAAGACTTGGCTAGCATGCCATTCGAACCAGTGCCAATATTATCGCTGTAGATGAAGAATGGATGCGTCGACAACCCATAAAATCAACAAACATCTATTTAAAATGGAGTCCAGAATGTCATGGTGAAAACGGTATATAGAATAGACGGTAATTACATATTCATGCAATGTAATAATGATAAATATAAATATTGAAAATATAGATATATATATATATATATACATAAAGAAAAATTTAAAATAAAAAATACTGAATGTCATGTATTCGAATCACCAATTAAAAAAACAATGATCTATTTAAGTGTGTTAAATAAAGAAATGTGATCAGATACAAGTGTAGTTTTTTAGTTTTTCTTTATTTCCACAATGAATAATTACACATTTGTTTTCATTGTGACTACTGTATATCTAGCTAATGTTCTATACTATATAGTTTACCACTACAAATAAACATCTCAGGGATTACCATTGGTTTAGGTAATTGAATAAATATAATTACAATGATAAAATTAATGTCTTTATCTACACTAGTTTGTACATTTAATGCAAACTATTTTTTGAACATATTGATTTGGCCAATGCAAACTGTGTTCTCAGCATATTGGCTTGGTCAACACAAACTGTCTTCATAATACTGTATATTGGCACAACCAAAAATAGATTTTATCCAGTATTTTGTTCTACTCAATATAAACCATTTTTATCCAGATGATTTGTCCATTCAATGCAAAAATGTCTTCATCTATGTCATTGATCCATCTATGTGATTGGTCTATTTATTCAATGTATACCATATTCCTGTAAATGATTGGTCCATTTAATACAGAACAAACTTTTCATCCAATTGATTGGTCCATTCAATCCTCAATATCAAGACCCAAATGAGGGATTCTTTGGCGTATCCAACGTAAGTCTTCTTCCAAGTGATTGATCCATTTAATGTAAACTAGCAGTCTTCTTCCAGGTGATTGGTCCATGGCATTTAATACAAACTAACAGTCCTCTTCCAAGTGATTGGTTGATTTCATGCAAAGTAGCAGTCTTCCTCCAAGTGATTGGCCCATTTAATGCAAACTAGCGGTCTTCATCCAAGTGATTGGTCCATTTACTGTAAACTGTCTTCATCCAGACTATTGGTCCACTCAAGGAGGTCATCTGCATCTTTATCCCATGGTTCTCCTACTTCACTTGCTGCCACTGATGGAGGAGGAACTAAAGTAGAATAAAGTATTGATCATTATAAGAATAATGATATTAAAGACAAATAATAATGATGGTTAATTATAAAAATGATCATACTTATAATGGTAATGGTGGAAAAATTATGATAATGAAAGAAATATAAAAATAACTAAAATATCATTAATAAAATTAAAAGGGGACAAAATTGTTTAAACAGTAACATATTTTAATTTTTTAGTAATATTTTTGGGTAGCAGTATCTTATTTATAATAAATTTTGTCTTAGACATGTAGTAACAATTTATAATTCCTTTCAAGCATAGAAGGTATTAGAAGGTACATTATACTTCTTAGTAAAATGTACTACATTATGTACTGCAACACAAAACCTAAACAAGGCAGTTCTCATAAAGTCAAGAATCTCAAATATTCCTCATTAACAGCAACTCAAAAAGTTGGGTTGGTCCATGGAATGTCATTGTCAATCCAATAAATGTATCACCATAAAAATCATGAGTAAACAAACTACATCAAAAACAAACCTTTTTTCTTAGGCAGATATATCTTCTTCATTTTTGAAATTGTTTCAAGGTGTTGTTGTCTACTGCTGTCTGCTTTGGTTGACAGTGTCCCAAATTTTCCATACATTAAAGAATTGTGCCTAAAAGGATATAATAATAATTAGAATAATAAATAATGCTATGCTATTGCTGTTACTTTTATTACTACTATCACTACTTGTTATAAACTAATGTTATCAATATTATTATTATTATTATTATTATTACTCTAGTACTTATCATTTATCATTACTATAGTATTTACATTTTATTATATCATGGTTATCATGGGTGAATCTTTATTCAACACACAGGCACCAAGGATTTCAATAGCGAATATACCACTGTCCTACTTGTAGGTGACAATCCCTTTCACAAAATAAACATAGACACACGATGCTTTACACAAACTAAATCTCAATATGAGGTTTAGGTAGTGGAGTTGTTTTGGTTGTGAGAAAAATCCTGTAACACTGACAGGAATTGAACTCAGGACCCTAAAAATTGGAAGTCAAGCATTTCAACCACCAAGCTATTCAACTCCACTCCAACCATCCAGTGGAATAAATTAAATAAAAAAAATAAATAAATGTGTAAAGGTTGATGCTAAAAGACAAATAATCACGAGAATTCTTGCAAAGATTGAACACAGGACCCTGTAGCTGGAAGGTAAGCCACCATGCCAGAGCTCCATTCAATAAATCAACAATCTTCATTATTTTTGTGTTTTCTTACTCTTCAAGTTGTTTTTTCATGTGCTCATGTAACTCCTCAATGGGCAAGCCAAAATGAGCAGTCTGTAACTTTTGGTTTTCTCGAATAGCTTCAAGAACTGCAATGAAAATGAGAAAATTATCAACATAGCAACCTGGCATTACAATAAATGATACAAAACGTTGTGCTACTTTATACCAATAATTCAAAACACACCTATTCAGGAGTGGTGCTAATAATGTGATGTTTCTTATCATAAACAGGAAGTGTAGAGAAATTGTTTGCATTATTATTACTGTATTTCTTATTGGGCAAAAAAAAAAACATACCTAGGCATATATGTGTTGCCCACACACAGTGACATTTAAAGTTCAAGGGTCAATCTCATATTAATATTAAATAAATACTCCCTAAAGCCCTGTCCACATTACACATTTTCTTTGACAAAAAACTGTTGTATGCCCATATATAGTCATGCTGTGCCTATATATGGTCATGATGTGATGTCATCACAACCATATTTAGACAGTCACATGTTTTTGTCAAATAAAATTTGATAGCCTGGACAGGGTTTTATATAGTATTTGACTACAACAAAGTTTATTTGTAAACAAATTTTGTAAAATTAACAGTTGAAAAATGGCATAGTTTAAGACTAGCACACTTACGTGGGTTTTTCATATTTGGAGATGCTTTTGATGTAGCTATTCCGCTCCATGTTGTGTGGTAGTCGTCAAATGAGAGGCGGGCTGGCTGATACACGGTGTCTGTTCGTGTATTGTGGCAATCATGGCCATCATGCTGCTGGTCAGTATCTTGTTCTCCATTGGTTGGTTGTTTCTTGTGGGGATCAAGGCCAGCTAGACAGAAAATAACAACCATGAAGATAATGATGAAGGCAGCAGTAATGATGATGAAAATTCTTATTATGAAGATGGTGAAGATATAAAAGTAGTAATGAGGTGGATAATGACAATATTAATAATGATGAAGATAATGATGACAAAGATGGTGATGATGATGAAGATATTAAAAGGACAATGAGGTGGATAATCACAATACAGTTAATGAAGAAGGTGATGATAATGAAGTCGGTGATGTTAATGATGATGAAGATTCATATTATGGATGGGATAAAGATATAAAAACGGCAATGATGATGACGATAATGAAATTGAAAAATCACAATATTGTTTTCTATATTCTTCTAATTAAAATAGGGAACAATTTGATAAACCACTATCAGATTGCATACCATCAATTCTCCTACTAGCATTCACGCAGTCCTGCACAACCTGTCGATACAGCTCCGGTGATTGCTTGCAAACATTAGCAGCTTCGTCATTTACAGCATTTTCCAAGATGGGGTTGGACAACATTACCTGCAAAATGTTTATTTAAATCTTAATAAATAAATCAATAAATCACTGCAACAGAAAGCACCTATGTACTGTTCACACAATTAAGTTTAACGTGACATGTACCATCGATTTGACCATATACGTGTGTGATAGGATATCATGATGCCCATATATGTGGCAAAGACAAGCTAAACCAGTCAATCGTCGCAAAAATCAATTTTTAGTCATTAATACATGGTTAAAGATAAAAACGAGAGCTACAAAATGGTAAAATAATCACTTAAATGTGACACTTCATTATGAAATTACAAGCATTTAAACATACAAGTGTTTACACATACAGCTGTGTACAATATTTCAGAAATCATCCTCCAAAGTTTATGATTTCAAGCATTTCTCAGGCAAAAAACATCAAATTTTTAAAAATTGTTGTTTTAACATTGAAAATGGAAAAAATAACAGCATATCATGATGTATAAAAGCTTAGTTTAGTGCAATAAAATAGATCTAAAAAATGAGGACATTCCAGCATGTTTTGGCCATTATCTCTGAAACATGATTTGCGACAAGTGACTGGTTTGGCTTGTCTTTGCCACATTATGCAGACCTTCATTTTTCAAAAATCAGAGGAGAGCTACAAATAGATCTCTGCTGAGTATCAAGGAGCTCTAAAAATAATTGCCTCTCCTCAGAACTTTGCAAATTCGGTCACATTATTTGAAGGAAGGGGGTGGTCAGGTTACTTTTTAAAAAAAATATTTTTCTTCGGAGCATTTTAGAGGACCATAACATCAAAATAATTAACATCAGAAAATGTCTGATTTTTACTAGTCCTCTATATCTAATGTACAGTATGTAGTTTCATGTGTATTTTTTCTGGGTCATTTCCTAATGCGGTTTTTAATTTAAATCTGTATTTTGTAGCTATTTTCTGCACATGTTTCAATGGCAAAATCGCCAATATTGGCCTATTTCAAGTCTTTTGAAAACATCAACAAAAAGTTATGTGCTCCCATTATACAGTAAATTTGAGAAAGTAGTAATAAATGTCTGAATCTACTGTAATATCATTTAAAACATAATATTTTTTACCAAAATTTGACTATAGTTTAACAAAATTATTAAAGAGAGCAAAGAGACCCAGTACATATCGTAGGCCCAGGGCTGTGTGTGCATGTGTTTACAAAATTGATCGTATTTCTCGATCGTACACCATGACCGGGTACCGGGACTAGGCTAAAAATGCATCAATATTTTATCAGTTCTACAAAGATCATAATCTTAAGGTATATATGATATTACAAATCACAAATCTCCTTAAAATGTCAAGGTACAGTCATTGTTGTCATTTGTTTTTCTTCCCTGGTAAATCAAAGAGCGCTATTTTTTGCTCCATACTTTTTAGGAACACGAAAGAAGAGCCAGCGCGATCACGCATAATTGTACGTACCTGCAGCGTCGCAAGTATGTGATGTATTCCATGTGACGTAAACCACTGATCAGATTGAAGTACATCAATGCAGGGCTTACCAGTTTTCATATCAACTACACCCAATAAGAAACCCGAAATCATATATTACTATACCTCATAAATATTAATTAGGTAAAAACATTTCATTGGTCAATTCCATCCGATAAGGGATGTGGTAGTTTCTAATAGATAAATAAATAAATACTACTTCAGTGCACATGCCAAATTTATGTGTACGTGTGGAGACTACCACACCTTCTTTGTCTACATGCAGAGACAGTTTGCTGATTTCCCTGTAAATCTCCACCTTCCTTCTATAGAAAGAATTCGGAAAGGGGGGAGGGGGCCGGGGGGTGAAAAAAAGGAGCTTTCATAGATGCATGGTCTATACCACCTCAGCCCCACAATGGCTTGGGTTGAGGTATGACAATTTATGATTATGGCACCTCTAGAAGGCCGGAAATGGCATTCTCAGACTTAATTTTTCTCTTCATTTTTTTAAAATTAAAAAATTGTGGAGGGGAGAGGTGGGGTCGGATCAAGTGGGGGGGATTGGTTCCTCACCCCTGTCAATCCCGCCAAAAAATAAAAATGAGGAAGAAAAAATTGAGAAGAGTTAAAGGAAGGAAAGAGGGAAAAAAAGGAAGTGTACCCATTAGTATGGTGGCAGATCCAGCAGTGGGCGAAAGGAGAGCACGAATATTTTACCACTCATTAATTTTGAATTTTCTTTCGATTGATGACAAACACGTTATATCCCATACGGCAATTTTTTACAAGGATTTAATAAATCAGGATGTAAAAAAGGCCAAAAGACGGAGACCTAAGACTGAGGCCATTATTACGAAATGTAGTACTCAGATATAAAACAGCTATCCATGTTCAGTGGCATAACGCTTATGCGTTCTCGTGCGGAGGTCCTACAGGACCCTACCCATAGGGTCCAGGGTCCTTGCTCTATAGCATCCTGATCCAAAAAGGCTTTGTTGATATATAACAGCATAATGTGTCTCTGACATCGACTGTAGGACATGTATCATATTAATCCACTGGGTGTGGGATGCCCAGTCGGCCAGGAGCCCCTACATTTGTCAAAATTTTTTTTAAATGGAGATAAAATATTCAAATTTTAAGCCTGAATGAGTGTCATTTTAGGGCATCTAAAGGTGCCATAATCATAATTTGCTTTGCAACTCCCACTACAGAAGCATAGCTCCCGTCGGGAGGAAGTCAATAATTTTGTCGAGCACTGCTTTGAAAAAGCATTTTTACCATCTGAGAGTGCCATTTCTGAGCATCTAGAGGGGCTTATTCTTAAAATTTGCTCATCTCTGTCCCAACCATGGTGGGGATGAGGTGGGTGTGGACAACCTATTGGGGTCTGACCGTCAGAAACTTTCTGGATCCACACCTGGGGGAGGGCTTGCCCTTGGGGAAGGGCTTTCCCCCTTGAATCCGCCACTTATGTGGTTAATGAGTTTTCGTAACATTTACTTTGTTGCACACGCTATCAAGTTAGGTAACAAATAATTTTTTCATAACTTACTATTTGGATGGAAAGGTATAGTATGGAAAAAAACAGATGGTGGCACTTGATTATAGTTTCCACAAAACTGCAAACTTACAACAAAGATTCCACCTAAAAAACGAAAGGTTGAACAGACATGAAAAGCTAGGTAAGGCTTGGTGTATATCTCGTTTTTTTTTCAATTCATTTTTATTGACAATCATCCGAAACAAGGATAATGATGCCACTCAAGGTAAGGGGTTACATATTTAAAAGAAACCGGTTCACGAGAGAAATAAAATTTGAAAGGTTTTGTTAATCCAGCACCCAATTTGCTGTTACTGACAATTTTTTAAACCAAAATAAAATTTTAATGGTCTTTCACAAAATATACATTGTATTTAAATTCCTAATAATGCAGCTGGAGCCATTCAAATTTTCCAAATTAATAAATATAAATTATTTATCAATCTGGTTACTGAACTGTTTACATTGCAATTCATGGATCTTTATGATTGCATGATAAAATCACAAGACCTAGAGGCACCAAATATTACTTTTAACAACATTAATATTTTCATGAAAATCATTTCCATTACTTTCCCATACTGTGTCTTTAAGCCCAGAAATTTTTGCTGTCCATTCCAGAAAGTTGTCTTCTCCACAAGGATGTGCCTCAATTCCCTGTACATGATCAAATAACAGTTAAGGTCAAATAATAAATACAACAAATGACCAATGCAAAAACATATATGTCAATATTATAAGCATTCCCCTTTCTATATTGTGATAGTCGTCATCACCATCATCGTCAATATTAATGTCATCATCATATGCATAATCAGGCCCGTAGCCAGGGGGGTTTTTAGGGGTTCGGGCGAACCCCCTTTAGCCAGTGAACCCCCTTAGCCAGAAAACGATCCCCCGTTTCCAAAATAGTGCAATTTATTACAAAATGGGAGCATTTTTGGCACTGTTTATTTGTCGCTATCGATCGTAGTCCGATCGTAGAAATCAAAAC